TACGCAAGAACAGACACCTGTCAACCGCCATATTGGTTTCTTCTGTCCGTCCTAGTTTGGAAAAGAAACATTGACTCTAATTACGTAAATACAGGGGTTATAATTGTCACAAAGGACGGCTAATTTGTTCAATGCCTATATGATGTGTTGAAATGTATCACGACATTTTTATTTGTTAGCACGCTTTGTTTAAACAGAGGTCTGACTGTGTTGTAGACTTAAGTAGATCCATAGCAAACACTCAGTCATACTGTGCACACTTAGTTACAGGTGGGCCATGGGAGCCTTTCTTTCACCTGTCACTCAAGCCGGTGTTTGTCGGTAAATGGTTGCACAATCCGCGGGTATTTGTCGGGCGTTTTACGGGCAAATGACGACGTTGTGTAACGTTGGACCACCGGGGTGTTACAATCGCTTAAACGATTCTTCTTAGAGAAGATGGCTACTTGCTCTCACTTTCTTTCAGCCCCTGTCACTGCTATGATAGCCGAGTATACCCCCCTCCCCCGTACTTTCCACAGCCGTGTGTTTCCAGGGTGGCCACGCCGGGCTCAAATTTAACTCAAATTTGATTTTTTTTATTAAATATTTCAACATGTACACAAGACGCGGTGACGGCACACTCAAGTTTTTACAACTTATATTAATGCCGCCACCAACACAGGGGACAAATACATTACTCATTTTTACCTGAGCGAAGACAGGAAATTCGTGTAAAGTGCCTTTCCCAATGACACAAGATCGGTGGCATGTCAGGACTCGAACTCCTTGGTTCCGAGTCGAGCGCTCTGCCGCTACGCCACACAACCCCACTAAATTTGATTTGTAAAGAGAAGGTAGGCATGGCCTAAATCTGGTCAGACTGCTGCGGAATTTCAACCAACCTTGGTTGGTTGCGTTTGGTTGGTGGTCGGGGGGAGGTTCTGAATGTGTGACAGGGGGCTTCAGATTGCTACCATTGGATCACTGCATTGTCTGTATTTGTCTTTCATTCGGCTTTCCGATATCGTTAAAACTGCTGAAATATTTCACCGCCTTTAATATCCCTTTACGTAGTTCGCAAAATTGGTTTAAATATCGTTTTATTTTTGTGCTCTGGTTGGTCAACCGTGTGGTTTTAAGAATTGAAAAAGTTTGGTGCTAGATTCGGAAAGGGCATATAAATAATTTCACGGTCATTTCTAGTTTCCTTCGGGAAATTAATTAACAATTTGCTTCCGAAAGCAGATAATTGTTGTTCTCAATGTTATTACATTGACCCAAATATGACAAAAAGATTTCGATCGGTTAGACATTTGAAAATCAGTCCGTAAACTGGGCAAGCATGTCATGTCGACTTGAGCATCGAGTAAGGTTTGAGAGAGTCACCGACATTTTTAAGACCTTGTCACAACCTTTCCCCAACAAGCCAAGGTTGGCTGTTGGAGCAGTCAGTTTTAGGCCATGCCTACGTTTTGATACGGATCGAATCAAATTTGAGTTAGATTTGAGTCAGATTCGACTGCAAACGACGCCCCCGATCACTGCTGACCGATACTCCCAACCACCAGCCAACCAAGTCCCCGACCATGACCCATTTAACATTTTGTAACATTCGGCTCGCGCAACAGAACAGTAGCCAACCTCGCCGAACACCAGCTAACCGCAGCCGACCTTGCTCCCGACCTGCTACTAACCATGCATATGGTTGGGGGGAGTTCGACCGTGTTCGGGAGGCCATATTCAGCTATGTGTGACAGGGGCTATATATCAAGGCCTCGGGAAAAATGTTGTGTTTCCTCTTTCAGTCCTGAAAAAAATAGGGCCGGTAGATAGGGATAGGGCCGGTCCAAAAATAGATAGGGATTTTCATTTTTTTTTTGACGTTTGCGATTTCTAGTGGCCCAACTTACACAATACAGATTAAGAAAGGAAACAGATTGTACAACATTAACTTTCATCACTCAGGTGTCAGATCATGTAGATAGGAAAGGTTGATCAGCTCGAAACATTTTACCCTTGCAGGGGTCCACCCAAAAAAAGGCTAGGGTTGGCAGTTTTTTTCTAGGGTCTGACAGCTTCTTCCCCAGAACCACCTCACTGTGGAACAAGCTTCCCCGTGAATGTTTCACCGCCAATTACAACCTCCAACAGTTTAAATCAAGGGTGAACAAATATCTGACCACGCAGTCATCACTGTAACCCAAAACATGTAAGTGGTTCTCACGAGCCTTGTTTTGAGGTGAATCTGAAGTAAATAAAAAAAAAAGGGTCGGTCGGGAAACAGGAAACAAAACATTTTTCCTGGGCCTAACCACCAAAGAACAAAATAGCATGGGTCACTGCAGGTGGAGAGATGTGTTGTATCTAGAGCAGAAGGTCCTCGTAATTCTACAAGAGGCTTTAACTTACTTTGTCACAGCTGGTTTCTCTGCTTAATTGGACCGGGTTGTAGTTAGCAATATCGGTACATTCTTTGAGAACGTTCCTTGAGAAATAACAGCGTTTCAAAAATTAAAAGATATAAGCTTATGAAAAGTGCATGATTAGCTGTAATGCGATTGACCTACTCTTTTAATGTAAAAGACAACATTGAAGGGACTGTTTTTGAAACCAAATCTCTATAATCCTCAACTATTGGCGATAAGAGAAAGTAACTAATAGGGGTATAGTAGAACCATATGTAGAACAGACACATGCAGATGTAGATGTAATTTGTTATAATTTGAAAACTGCGTTGAGAATTAACTTTCGGGACAAGATTGAAATCAAAATTGGGTGACAAGGCGGTCTTGAGTTTTAGAATTCGAAAGTTCTGGGTTCGGATCCATGGAAGGCCACTGTGTTGGGTCCTTGTGAAAGGCACTTTATACATGTACCTATATCCTCACTTGACTCAGGTGAACAGAATAACTTTATTGCTATTGCACGGCAATTGCACATGGTACAATGAATGGCAAACTACATAAAGAGAGTAACAACAATAAAATAAGTGTGTTGAATAAGACCTAATGTCGAATAAAACCTAACATATCTATATCATAATTATTCAAATAATAAGGGGTAGCACAAGTCTTTGATAAAGTGTTACAATCGAGTGGGCTAATCACAAATTTCCGTATTTTTTCTAATAGCAAAGCATTCCTTTATATATCTACCTATTTTTGCGTTGTGGGGACCATTACATGTAAATATATATTCAAATCTGTCTCCAACATCGAGACTCTTGAAATCTATGGTACTTGATTTGAGAAATGTGAATAGCTTGTTACGTATAACATCATATTTGGTACATTCCATAACAAAATGAAATTCATTTTCTATGAGTGCCTACATGTAGCTTTGGACGTCATTTTGAAAAGGACGTAAAGCCGGAGGCCCTTGCTTAAGAAGAGCCACATACACCTTTAGTACATTAAATATCCCGGGGCAGCACACTTATCGAATAGAGCAGGGGTCCTTCCCAGAGTGAGTGGTCCAAACCTTACAGTCTGTTATTGAGTCGACATCTTAAAGAGGTGATAGTCACCTGTTATGTCAATCCTTCAAAATATGTGGTAAATCTTATTAGATGAATAAAACTAAGTACAACTACTAAAACATTATACTACTACCAGTGCCCCATTTTACATGAATGTTTAGGAAGCAAATAGGAGTAGTCTATATACAGTGTTCAAATAGGAAAATACATTAAAGAATGTTTCGATCTTAGAAACCACATGTTAGAGAATTGTTAAACCTTTATCGTTACACATATTCTGTACGTAAGATGACGTTATCCACACATGTATGTAGCTTTGTTAGATCTTTAGTTAAGTTGTAGAAGACCATACAAAAGCCCGTGTAGTTTTTTTGTTGCGTCAATAAAGAATCTACTTTATCTTGTCAAGAAGGTCATTTGTTATATGATGCTCAGTGGAGGTGGCATGCTACAATGACATCACCGTGACTGTTTCACTGACGCGGTTAAGTAGGTTATATTTATCCATAGACAATTCTTCTTCAACCGCAAAAGAATTTCTGAGCGGCCGACAAAAATCACAAATAAAACACCCGACGTTTTCTTCCCAAGACCACAATGGTCTATTGACTAAGTACAGTGCCTGTTTGTTCCACGTTACTTTCAAGAGCACGAAGAACGATTTTTTTTCGACGGCATTGACTACAGTATAGAAGCAAAGCGCTGAAGTCTATATTTTTGTAGCAACTCGAAAAGGCGCTATTAGATATAAAATAGGGGTGAGAACACATACTAGCCTCCACTGTACCAGGCCTTTCTACTGGAATACGGATCGTAGAATTCGGCCAAAAGGAGAGAAAAGTTGGCCAAGGCAGTCAGTCAATGGAAGTATTTCTTTCCCTAGTCAAACCCCAAGGCGGCCAAACCCCCCTAGCAAATATTCTCCTATGTACAACCAGCGTAGTTAGTCTGCTAAAGACATATACATACGCTGTATGATCGTTATACGATCGCTGAATACATTGTTATTAGGCCAGGCATGCATGTCTCCCGCACACTTCAGTCGTCTTGTTACGAACATGTCGATTGTAGAACCTTGTCGGTGGTACCCTGGATGCCAAAACTAGTATCGGGCCGTTAGCCGTTTTCCTTCGGCAGCCAAGAGCCCTTCGCCCGCCTATCTAAATTACTTATACGGGGGAGTTGAGCCCGAGGGGTTTGTCCGGCCCTTTACTTGTACGGCCAGCCAAACTCCCCCCGGGCTAGACTCCCCCGTAGCGGTAATTTACACCAGCGGGCGAAGGGCTCTTGCGGCCCGGAAAACGAGTTCTGGATTCCAGGGTATGTCGGTGGTTGTTTGACTGTCACAACATGCTTGAAAAATCATACGACATTAAAATATAACGAAGACCTACGGCGAATTTGAACGCACCGTTAGCATAGGGAGGGGGGGGGGGGGGGGCTTAGATCCGTTTTGTAACACGGTCATTCATGCTATGAAATGGGCCGAGCGATGTAACATGTTCATTTGGTGCACAGGTAAACACAGAAACCGACTCACCTTGAAGAAGAAATCTTGCGCGGCTTTTGGTAGTAACAATTCGGCAGTCTCACTCAAGAGTAGTCCGGTGTTCCGCTGGTTCACACTTCGGTCATCTTCGGCCAGAGAACGAAGACGTAGCTGTTCCGAAGACACGACTTCCTCAAGTGTCCATCGTACCTGTTGTTGTAGTGAAACCCTACACCCCCTGTAGGGGACCGACCGTTTCTGTTTGTTTTGTGAAGGGGTGGGAGGGTTCTACCATTTGTAACGAGAAAACACTTTTGAAGTAATCTCACTTTGTGGACAAAAAACTGTCCCAAACGACAAACACAAAAGATCACACTTGCATAATAGTGTTTTATTTTTAATAAATGGGTTCAATAGAAACTTTATTTGCAAAATCATGCCCGAAGGCTAATTGCTTTTACAATCAAGGATACTACTCAGTGCAATGCAATAATAGAAGGCAGAGAACAACTGTCTGGAAAAACCTACACTTCTACTACTACGCTAGCTACTATGGGGTTCGACTTCTTTGAAGGCAGTGGATAATGAATAGATTTAATCATACCACAAAGTTCTGACCAATCACGTCTATACAAGGTAAATGACAAAAAGCAATACTCCTTAGTAGATCATTGTGCGATAGTGTCTAGTGGATACTGTCTTGCCGATCGGTTACGACTTTGGCACCAAAATGTCTTTTCTGTTTTATTTTGTTTATTTAAATCATAAGAGAATTGGAAGAAATACAAGAGAGCGACAGCGACTCACTCGAGTTAAGAAAACTTATACGAGCGTCGCCATCGTTGAACATATAATTGATTAACAAAGATATAATACTACATGGAAATGACAAAGAAATATAAACGAACAAAAAGATCTGCTTTTGAGATTACGCTCCTGGTCAAAGCACTAACGGTTAGTCCCTGTCCTCCTGAATAGCCCGTTGGTGTTGATACAGGCCTAGCCTCCTGTCCAGGCTCCGGGGCGGGGGGGGGTGGTTGGGATACAGCGTTTTTATTTCGTTGTTTCAATTGAGAAGTTTATTGCAAATTCATGCCCGGGGGGCTAATTGCAGATTACAAACATAAAAGAACAATGAAACGTAGTATAAAAAAACTAAAATCTACATGATAAAATCTAGTTGTCTAGAGCTATAGCTATGTCTAAAACTACGTCTAAGGGGTTTGACTTCTCTTTTTTAGACCATGGAAGACGTAATGTCCCACTTTTTCTAAAATTAGTGGGTTTTTTTGGGAGGTTAAAAGAAGAACAGTTTTTTCTTGGTCTGTATTAAAGTTTAGTAAAATTGGGGTAAATTGTAGAAGTTTGAATAGTTAACTCATTTCGAGCGTTGCTATGAAAGGAACAAATAGCCGACCGTCCTGCAACCAGCCGCCGGGAGAAGGTTCCATTCCGCCCAGGGAAAACTGTTCAAAAACGCTATATCAAAATTCCTTCCCACCCCGGAGCCTGCACAGGAGGCTAAGACAGGCCGGTGTGTCTGGTCACGCACCACTGCCAACCCCAGCTAGATACGTCACGCTGTAGACTGGGTGATAAAAGAGACCCCCCAGGACGAAGATCCCTTGTATTAAAGGCATCCGATGCTAGCCTCTACCAGGCCTTTCTACGCTAATACGGATCGTGGAATTCTGCAAAAAAGGGAGTAAAATTGTAGCCTCTGCCAGGCACCGCGGATCGCTGGGAAAATAGTAGAAATTGGCCGAAATAAAGGGATAGTATACCAGAGAAGATCCGTGGGTCGCAAATTGGAGCTTCTATGGCCCTGGATCTTTTCTGGTATACTATCCCTTTATTTCGGCCAATTTCTACTATTTTTCCAGCGATCCGCGGTGCCTGGTAGAGGTTAGTAAATTTGGCCAAGGGAGTCCGGCCGCGGGGACGTAGTTTCTTTCCATGCGCGGCCTGTCAAACCTACAAGGCGGCCAAACTCCCCTGGCAAATATTCTCCTATATATAGCCAGCGTAGTTAGTCTGGTAGAGACTAATCCAATGCGATTTCAGAGCAGCAAAACAGGAAATATTCTGAATAAGGCAATCTTATGATGATATTGACACATACTGCTTCACATTACCACATTTCAATCAGTATTTCATACTTTGGGCATCTAAAACTGCAGAAACAAGCCTCAAGATGAGTCCTTTATTTCATAGGTGCATGGTGCCCTAAAAATCAGCCCAGGGTCCTTCCAGTAACCATATTTCTTCAGATTTTTTGGGTGTTTTTGCTCCATGATGAGGGTCAATATACATTGGGATAGTGTGGTTTCAACTCAGTATGTAGATAAATGACAAGAATATTGACTTCGGGTTTTCAAGCCCTAAAAACTGCATTGGATACCTTTAATCCCCAAACAGATTAGAGTAGAGTTTTCGGACCAGGCTGTCGGCTGTTCTGAATGCGGAGCAGAGGAAGTTTGATATCGTGCCCGTCGTGTAATATACTTTCTACTCACCGACATTTCGGTAACCAGGGCTGTAATACTAGTAACTGGAGCTACTACGTGTGTCGCTAGATGGCGCTGCTGCGATAACGTGCACTAGGAATATTATGGTAGCAGCACACAGTATAAATGACGCGCGCGGGTACAGAAAGTAGTACAGCGAATATGCTTGAAGGCTGGGTAGAAAGCCTGATAAGAGCGTCAGCCAAATTGCGCTGTATGGTGTAGGAATGTATCGGGTTTGAGACTATGATTTGAATTGTGAAGGTTTTGCAGTTCGTGTATAAATGCGCCGAATTAGGCAACTGGCTTTCCGGGTGAGTCGGCTGCAGTTCAGGTCACGTCCGTAGAGGGCGATTTCAAAGTGTACGTTACGAGCAGATACGCCGACAGGATTTTTTGGTTTCTAGATATTTTGTAGTTTGTACCTTCTTCTCAAACATATTCGATTTTCGTATTTATGAAGTGCACCCTGCTATAATTTTTACCGCGTCGAAGTGAGTCATCTTGGGGTCCTTAACTATAGAAATCCCTATAGGGCGAAAACTGTGTTCTTCTACCTTATGGTTACAAATAAACAGGGCTAACCATGTGCTTGTGTCCCTACAGCCCGAACCGTACGCAGTTTTCGTGGAGCATGACGTCAGTGTGGGGGAACTGGTGAGTACGTCAATCATCATACTTAAAAGCCAAACCAATACAGATCATACGTGTATGTTTTTAGCGTATTACTAACATTCATTGTGCTTTTATTCTGTACCCTGGCGTTCGTTCCATTTTTTCGTTCATATTTTATAAACTATCCACGCAACATTTAACTGGCCTTTATTCTGTAAATTGTATGCACTTTTAGCCTAAATCAATTCCCATAGTAATGCTAATTGTATGGTAGTTCACTTTGTCTTGGCGATTGCAAAATTTCACGGTCCGAGGAAAATGAACAGAAGAAGAAGAACTTTATTGACACAACAAAAAGTACAGCGACTTTTATAAGGTCAAAGACATGTAGATATACAGACAATTAAACATGGGTACAACGAAAATATCCTACGTACAGAACAATAGGTGGGTCAACTAATACTACTTGTTCTAAGGTCTAAACATTCTTTGATATATTTACCTATTTGTACACAGTAAGGGTTATTGCCTTCTAGGATGAACTTAAATTTATCTACAGCATGAAATGTAACAAATTCTGTTGAGCAGGCGGAGAGAAGGTTGAACAGCTTTGTGCGTTTATCGTTATATAGTGTACAATTCAAAATAAAATGTTGTTCGTCTTCAATATCATTGGTACACGGAACTTAATCTAAACAAACAAACGGTGGTGCCAAGTGCACCAGAAGAGGATGCAAGGCAAAGGATGTGCTAACGGAAACGGTAGAGAAGTGAATATGAAAACAGTGAACATGAAAACCGTAAGAAAAGGGATTACAGTATACGTACGTGGCTGCCATGTGGATGTTTGATTTTTTTCTCCACGCCAGGTCCTCCCCATGAACGGAGAGATCGTGTTTGCGGATGACCTGAAGGTCAACTTCGGTTCGTTCTTCCACGAGCCGACCTGCATGGCTGGAGGTAAGGGGTAGAAGGAAGGTTTTAGGGTGTATGTAGGGGGTCTATTTTGATCCTTTGTCGCATTCCAGCGATATACAGACCTTTAGCATTATAATTTAGGCTCGTAGCCGCACGCGTGTTTGTATATGTGTGTGAATCTGTTTATATGAAGAACTTTATTGCACGACAATTGCACATGGTACAATGTATGGCAAACTACATAAAGAGAGTAACAACAATAAAATAAGGGTGTTGAACAATTGCAAGACCTAATGTCGAATAAAACCTAACAAATCTACATCATAATTATTCAAATAATATGGGATAGCACAAGTCTTTGATGAAATGTTACAATCGAGTGGGCTAATCACAAGTTTCGGATTTTTTTCTAATAACAACATATGTGTGTGAAAGGAACGTGTATGCATGTGTGAATGCGTGCACGTGTAAATGTGTTTATATGACATTGTGTGTGTGTGCGTGCGTGAATGACCGTGAATGTGTGTGTGTGCGTGAATGTGTCTTGTGTGCTTGCGTGAATGTGTGCGTGCGTTCGAATGTGTGTGTCTGCGTGCATGTAAACTCTGAGCTTGTGTGTTTCTACGTGTGTTTACGTGATTTTATCTGAGAGACTTGCATGTATAAAGGCATATAGGTACAAACCGTATAAGCATGCTTGCCCATAGCCAGGAGGGGGGGGGGGGTGTAAGGCTGAATGGTCCACTTTTTTATCTAAAGGTCCTAAAGCTTTTAAGAAAAATCCTTAAAAGGATTTTTCTTTAAAAGGTAGACTGATTTGTATCTCCAGCAGGGCTGGTATCCTAGACAAACTGAATGCTCACTTTGTCAGTGAATAAAAAGTGAATAATTAAGAATAAAAAGAATTTTTCTTTTGGAATCCTCCTAAAACCGCAGAAGGTTCAGTTTCCAAAATTTTTCTGGGGGAGCATCCCCCCGGACCCCCTAGGAACCTCGCGAACAGGCCCCTCGGACAGTGGATAGACCCCCCCCCAATCAAACTCCTGGCTACAGGCATGACATGGGAGTGAAGTCTGCTATCTCTGATTCCCCAGAGAACAGGTTTGTTGGTGGAGAACCGGAGGACTGGCTCAACCCCCACAACTGGCGCGTGGAGGATGACCTGAGCGTGGTGCCGCCAATGTCATCCGACGGTGAGACGGGGGGTTATTACCTTCGCCAAGAATTGGCGATATTGATTATGTAAATTAATACCTAATTTGCATAATTAATGAGAAAATGTTATAATTTCATAATGCTAACTGCCTGGAATTTCATACTTGCGGTATTTGAAAGTTAAGTGAAGGTGAACATCATTAAACATAACTTATCCAAATAAGGACATCATTTGCATCATTTATGAGGAAATGATAGAATGGCTTTCTTTGTTAAGATAAGGCTGTCTTTTGATGGAGAATATGATCAACTATATAATACAATATTATAATACAATATTATAATATGAATATAAAACAAATGAGAATCCTATTTGCATAATCAGAAGGAATCATCTTTGTCAGTCATAAAGATTAACATCATTTGGCGAAGGTATGAGATCGTGGGACTCTAGTTTGATATGTTCTTTCGGGGGTGGGGGGTTCAATATGGGCATGTGCAGTGTAGGCTAGTGTAGAGTCACTCATTCACTCATTGCCTTCGCTATTCAGAAATTTAATTCCTGTAAGTGGTTTTATGTGATCAACGGAAAAGTAACTTTTTCTACACGAGCCGAACTTACACGGAACAGTTTATCAGGTAAGGTACTGAATAAAGAAAATATTTTTACGCAACCAAGTCTTTTATTTAGCCTCACTGGGTCAGTTTACTGAGGAAGACCAGAGTGAATGGTCGAAAGATCTAGGTGAGAGAACTTTATTGTGTTGGATTAAAAGTGGTTGTAGTGTGAAAAGAGTTTGTTTATTCAGCTAGGCCAGCCTCATTACCCTAGATGGTACCTACTGGCTGATCTTCAAGGTGAGAAAGGTGAGAATTCATACCCTGGATCCGGATGCCAAACTAGTATCGGGACGTTAGCCGTTTTCCTTCGGACAGCCAAGAGCCCTTAGCCCGCCTGCCTAAATTACCGCTACGGGGGAGTTGAGCCCGAGGGGTTTGTCCGGCCCTATTACTATTACTATTACTATTACTATTACTATTATTACTATTACTTTCGTTTGTAGGCCAGCCAAACTCCTCCCCGGGCTAGACTCCCCCTTAGCGGTAATTTACACCAGCAGGCGAGGGGCTTTTGCGGCCCGGAAAACGAGTTCTGTCTTCCAGGGTAGTTTATTCATGAACCGTTTTGAACCCCCATCCCCAGGTGCAGCCGTCCCCACCAGCGCAGCTGACGGCAGTGACGGGTTCCCCCTGCTCCAGGCCGAGGTAGTGCCCTGTACCCACGACACCGTCGTCTTTCCTGAGGTAAGGAACCGCTGTTCTCCAAGCAGAGGTTTGGGGTTATTTTTGGCGTGCTTTTAGGCTTTTTTATCGGGGTTTCATTTTTGCACTGGGATTTATTTTTCGTTGGGTTGGGTGAAAAATAATTCTAGTGCAAAAAAAAAAAATAAAAAAAAAACAAAAAAAACACGCCAAAATAACCCCAAACCTCTGCTTGTAGAGTCAGGGACCACTGAAACGTATCGAGCTAAATTTTCTGTACCTGTATCTGTAGAGCTGGTATAACCGCCCTTTGGCGTAACACACCAGCTTCGCAGGCATGCGGCGCGGCAGTAGCTGGCTACATTACACCGAACTTGTTATCACACCTAGCCATTGAACATCAAACTCTAAGCTATCTGATAATAATGCCCCTACTGTACTTGGTGACAGCGTATTACACTCTGCGAAACTTCTAGGAAAGAGTAACTTTTTTAAACGCCTGAAATCTCAATTTTAAAAGCATCCGACACGATTTCAGGGCAGCAAATATAAAGAAATTCTGCATGGGGAAATCTGTCTGATATTGACAATTAGGTCACACTAACTTAACTTTATACTATCTTCTGAATACCCCCCAAACTAGTGTATTGATCATAGGTTCTTGAGTTCCATGGAGCATCGGCAGCTTGGGTGCCGTACTCCGTAGTTACTAGATATTATTGTCAATGAAGTATGTAAGTATATTTCAAAATGTTTCAAAAAGAGAGAAGAAGCCATTAGATCTTAGATCAATACCACTTATATATATATATATTTCTTTTTTTTATTTTATTTTTAGCATTGTATACCTTGTTTGTTTGTTTGTTTGTTTGTTTATTTAAATGCAACAGTGCATAACAAGTGGCAACCAGGCAGCAACAAGGCTGGTAGCGGCTACCACTGACACATAAATGCATAAATACAAAGTACAGTATAACTTAAATACAATATCACTTGGTACATACAAATTCAATTCAATATTTACAATAGCAATAAACATACAAAGTACATACAAATTCAATCAATACATAATTAAGCAATACAGTGTAATTACAATACAAATCGATAAAATGATCAAAGTTGAAATGGAACGGTTGGAGGATTTTTATTTACAATTGGTGTTAAGGTAATCAGGACCTAATGTTAGCCTTTCTCTATTACTACTGTTGTAGTACTCTCTAGTACATTGTTTTTTGTACATCCATCCATTTATCCCCCAGGGGAATGAACATGCAATAAATTTAACGCTCAACAATACACCTTCCCGGACTGATTAATCTGTACACCTGGGGTCCGCGCGGACCCCAGAGCAGTTTTTTGCTAATTTTTAGAAATTATCAACATGCTACCAGCTCAATTGTTTTGCAAACTGATGTGGGAACCTCTGTGTCCACATTACATACAAAAATCATACATTTTGAACTTTTTCTATTTTTTGGTGAAGAAAAGAAGACAAGAAGAAATACCCGATTTTTAAACCCATTTCAGACTGAAGGGGCTTTTGAGGCCCAACTTTGATCTCAGATAGCGGCTAAACGGCTTGCGCTAGAAGTATCAAATTTGGAGACCTTTCCGAAAATGTCTCTGGAAAAAAGTTCATATTAGTTTAATACTAGTAAGTTGATGTTTTTTTTTGTTGCCATGGCAACGGGTTTCTAGCAGGCAGTTTTTTTTTAAATAGTAAGTAATTTTGGTTTAAACATAAAAATTTTCTGAGTTTTATATTAAATTACTACTTCTTTTTCCAAACATTGATAACATCTTACATAAATAAATATAAGTTAAATCATTTAATATGCATAGAATATGCTAATTTGATGACGTCATTGGTCAAAATCCAATATGGCGGACTATATTATTAGCTCTGACGTCATATGACGTCATAATTACACCAAAGTTATTAAAATTTAATTCTATTACTACACCATTCTCTGAAAACTTGGTAGACATACGATGAGTGCATAAAAAACATATAAAAAACGGAAATAAGGTAATGTATAAGAAAGCCAGTGTATCCATTATGATCGAAAGCCGGCTGGGGTCCGCGCGGACCCCAAAAGAAAATCAAATATAATTTTTTTTATAAATGGTAGAAACGGAGTTTTCTGCACTGTATTGAGAGACAACTTTGTGGGTGACAATCACCTAAAATTTCAGAAAAAAATCTTTAGAAACAAAAAAGATATTACAGAATATATAGTGCTGGGGTCCGCGCGGACCCCAGGTGTACTGTTTAGGGTTAAAGTTTTAAAGTTTTATTGTCACTAGATATCATGGACTACGGAGGATTGCACACAGACCAGAGCCTCCTCGGAGGTGATTCTTTTATTTTAGAACAGGCAAAAATCAATGTGCGTGTAGATGCCAACATAACATTACATCAATGTAGCCTTACTGACATCTCTTCCCACATCTCTATCATCATTTCATACTTGAGCCATATGCAAAATATGGAGTTCTTCTTTTTTTTTTGACTAGACTGTCATAATTAGTTAGAACCAACCTACGAAGTTCGATACGTATCTAAAATAGTCCACAGTTACCCAGTATTATGGCCTTTCTCCGTTTGAAAAATGTTTTATCTGTCTCGAGTTGAACATATTCTATGACTTCTAAATGTTCAGGAAGTCAGTACATACAGCGCCGTACATACGCCCCGTGCATATAGACACAGACCGTAGTAAACTTCGGGTAGGTTGTTGACTGAGAAGTTATGGGTTCCAGGCTGATAACGAAAGAATCGTTTAATCTAAAGGAAAACTAAAATAGTCCACAGATACCCAGTATTATGGTCTTTCTCCGTTTGAAAAATGTTTTATCCGTCTCGAGATGAACATATTCTATGACTTCTAAATGTTCAGGAAGTCAGTACATACAGCGCCATGTATATAGACACGGACCGTAGTAAACTTCGGGTAGGTTGTTGACTGAGAAGTTATGGGTTCCAGGCTGATAACGAAAGAATCGTTTAATCTAAAGGAAAACTAAAATAGTCCACAGTTACCCAGTATTATGGTCTTTCTCCGTTAGAAAAATGTTTTATCTGTCTCGAGTTGAACATATTCTATGACTTCTAAATGTACAGGAAGTCAGTACATACAGCGCCGTACATACCCGTGATTAGACACAGACCGTAGTAAACTTCGGGTAGGTTGTTGACTGAGAAGTTATGGGTTCCAGGCTGATAACGAAAGAATCGTTTAATCTAAAGGAAAACTAAAATAGTCCACAGTTACCCAGTATTATGGTCTATCTCGGTTTGAAAAATGGTTTTATCTGTCTCGAGTTGAACATATTCTATGAGTTCTAAATGTACAGGAACTCAGTATATACAGCGTCGTGTATATAGACACGGACCGTAGTGAACTTCGGGTATGTGAAAATATGTGAAAAATGTACAGTTGGTAGCAGAAAATCATTTTTGTAACATTCAAGGACATACAGGATTCTAAGAGGATAAAAATAGGCTACAGGCGTACTATAGTGTTTGAAAATAAAGTCCAAATACAATACCGCCCTTCACTTGACAGAACGTTTCCTAGCACACGCACTCAAAACGTCTGCAGTGTAACAGCCCTCTTTTCACAGTGTAATCGAATGGGCTTAGACACAAGCCATGTTAGCTTTGACGCGAGAGACGCATAAAAGCTGGAAATCCCTGTCGGGCGCTCTAATTGGTTTGCGTTCTGGGCGCAGGTTATTGTCAAAACCCCTTGTTTAATTGTTCTTAGTTAAAACTCTTTGGTTACGCTTTTCCGCACTTATTTATACTATCTTCACCATAGTTCCCTGACCAAGAACAAATGTCAGAAGCCATCGCTCATTATGCAAATCGGGTGTAATTGGCACCTCAACGTGAAGTTGGAACCTCACCCCTGAGGCGAAGACCCTAAAGCGGAGGCGCGAGAAGCCCCACAAGTTTGTCTCACCCCGATGTGTTTGCATTTTAACACCTATTTGAGGAGGAATCTCGGAAACCTAGAAACGGTCGTAAATAAGTTTGTTACCTGTTACAAAAATTTTCACATAAAATCACATAATCATCTAGGACATAGGCAAATGTGAAATTATGTGAAGCATTTTCACATAAAATAACATTCTGACCTCTTATGTGAAAAAAAATGTGATTTGAACTTCACATAATTTCACATTTGACTCCTTTCAGTTTGCGGGGTAAAACCGCTTCACATTTCTTCACATCTTCTCACATTTTGAATTCACATTTTTTTTGGCCATCTTTTCGGGTTGTGTGATTTCACATAATCGATTCACATTTTTTAAACAGTTACATTGTTTCACATAAAATAACATTTGACGATTCACATTTTGAAAAAAAATCACATTTTGGGTTTCACATATTTCTAATGGGATTCACATTACATCACATTTTTTCACATTTCATTAAAATTTTGCACGAAATTCACATAATTTTCACATTCATGCACCTGGTAGTGTACACAGCAATATCACTTATAATGTATAGGATTGGGTTCAATGAACTTGTACTCTACGTACATGAAAACATTGACTAGAAAAATGACTTTGCAAATACTATTTATTTTCACAGGCTTTTAATCTAAACATTTTCAGTATCAATTTAATACATCCTTAGGCTAAGTATCAAGATAAAAAGACTATAGTTAGGATAACTACGTAAAATGTCACTAAAAGATGGTCCCAGTCGCACAGTTGGTGTCTCCGTGTGAATTTTTATGTGTCGATATAAGGCAAGCTTGGAGGCAGCAGAATAGCTACACTGGTCACACCTGTAGGGTGTTCCCCCTGTATGTGATATGAGCCCTCATATGTCGGGATAAGTGAGACTTGTAACTTGTCCTGTATCCACACTCCCCACACATGTAGGGTTTCTCACCGGTATGTGTTGCTTTATGGTCATCTAAAGTGTTTTTTCTGGTGGCAGAATAACCACACTGGTCACACTTGTAGGGTTTTTCTCCTGTATGACTTCTCATATGTTGTGATAAATGGGACTTTCGAGCTGCCCTGTACCCACACTCCCCACACATGTAGGGTTTCTCACCGGTATGTGTTGCTTTATGGTCATCTAATGTGGATTTCCTTGCAGCAGAATAGTCACATTGGTCACACTTGTAGGGTTTTTCTCCTGTATGGGTTTTCATATGTTTGGATAAATTGGACTTTCGACCTGTCCTGTATCCACACTCCCCACACATGTAAGGTTTCTCACCCGCGTTGTTCCACTGAACTTTCTGTGCTGCCGTCTTGTCTTCATCATAGCCTGTATTGCTGTCAGACTCATAAGCAACCTGGGAAACCCTGGTGGGGGACCCATCAATGCAGTTCTGACCAACTCCGGTGGGAGACCCAACGTGTCTTGCCATTGCCACGTACAGTCTAGTGTAAAAATAATAGCACGTCTTGTTAATGATATGGTCACAGCAAGTAAATTTTATGGATGACATCCTCCGCAGACTCCAAATCTAATGCGAGCGGCCGAAAAAAACAAAACAAGGCAGGCCGAAAAAACAAGGTTCCTACATTTCAAACTTTTGACTCAATCACTGTACAAATGGTTTTGATTCAGTGGGAACATCACATATACACAGCTAACATCGTACATATCACTGCATCAAAGTAAGAAACAAAACATTAAATCAGAGCCTTTTCTTGTCTCTTCATAGTTATCTGCCATCCACCTTCCGGCATGGCAACATACATTTTTGCCCATTTTCCGCATGTTGACCACTGTCAGAAGGCAACAAAATTTCTTGTTTTTTTCCCCAAAATCAGGCGAAAATCAATGCGCGCGCTGATGTCATCCATAAGAATTACTTGCTGTTGCCTAAAGATAATTTTTTCCCAAACTGTTAGAGATTTGCATGGTTGTTGATAATGCGAAAAACAGCTTCTGTGCTCTGTTGCATGGGAGTAGCCTGGTCTCAAATTTAAAAAAAAAGTAATGGTAGCAAAATGGTAGCGAGAGATCGTTTTTCAAACAAGGCTACTCACGTTACGTATTTGCAAGGTACAGAGACTGTTATGGCATTTGACCAAAAGCGCATCAAGCTTAGTTTAAAGGAATTCCTAACAATAACATAAGGAGTTCAGACAACCATGCGTAGCCGGTTTGGTTTCGCCCCCCCTCCCCTTTCATTTCTACCATTTTCACATCCAGAAAAGGCCTATAAACCATCGTCTCACTCTGGTTATCATGCCACAGAAATGAGCCCCAAACCCTTACGTTTGGTATAGAAATCCATGACTGTTCTTTTCTAAGTCATACCTGCTTTCTGTGATGGTTTTCTCTTCACGTAACCTGGACTCGCTTTCCTACGTCGTATCGAGGGGTCAGAGGTGATCGTCTCTCGGGTCATAGGTGAACCACATTCAATGACTCCCTCACGGCAGCAGTTAAGAATTTTGTACCGCATAAAAAAAAAAATGAAGGACTAAAATCAACCTACCATGGGTCACGCCAAGTATTAGGAAACTGATGAACAGACGAGATAGGAAATACCGCAAGTGGAAGAAAAACAGATCCAATAAGCTGAGGGAAGAGGTTAAGGCCCTGCGCCGTTCCATCCAACGACAGATCCGTCGGAGCTATTGGAGTCATCTAAACTCAGTCTTTACGGAAGAAACATCTGCCTACAAACCAGGGAATAAGAGGTTCTGGGCTTACGTTGAGAACCAGAGGTCAAGTAATGCCGGTGTTGCCCCTCTAAAGAAAGATGGCCGCCTCACGTCCAACCCACAAGAGCAAGCTGACATTCTGAATGAACACTTCCAATCAGTTTTCGGAGATGGACAGCAGTACTCAAACGCAGAGTTTGAAGAGAAGACAGGTATGCAAAACACAGACGTACCAGCGATGGATAACATCACTATCACCTGCGAGGGAGTGAGCAAGTTAATGGAGAAACTGAACCCAAACAAGGCCGGAGGGCCAGACGGCATTAGCCCTAGAATACTACGAGAACTAGCCGAGGAACTGGCGCCGGCACTGACAACCATCTTTAAATCTTCACTAACAACAGGCAGTGTCCCAATTGACTGGAGGAGTGCATATGTCATGCCCATCTTTAAAAAAGGGGAACAATATGACCCAACTAATTACAGACCAATTTCCCTGACATGTATAGCGTGTCACTGATGGAGCATATTGTGGTCAACATGTCATGTACCACCTTGAGTCACACGCCATACTGAATGACGCACAGCATGGCTTTCGCAGAGGTCGATCCTGTGAGAGTCAGCTGCTAGAAATGGTAGAAGAGCTAACGACCAACGTGGAAAGTGGGAAACAGACAGATATCCTAATGATGGATTTCGCAAAAGCATTTGACCGGGTGAATCATAGCCTACTGATTCACAAATTATACCGCTTTAGAATCCAAGGACCGACTCTAGCTTGGATCGAGAGCTTTTTGAGAGACCGACGACAAGCAGTTATAGTCGACGGATACCAGTCCTCATATGCGAGCGTCAGATCAGGAGTCCCACAGGGTTCCGTCCTCGGTCCCTGTCTATTATATAATTCCTTGCATATATAAACGACTTACCGGATAAACTAACAGCACTGGCTAGGTTGTTGCCGATGATACTGCCATATATAACGTCATAACCAATAGGGAACAACAAGATCAGCTACAACGGGATCTAGAAAGGCTGGCAGATTGGGAAAAATCCTGGGATATGATGTTTCACCCTGCTAAATGTGTAACCATGACAGTGACAAGGAGTAGAAAACCCTTGGAGACATCATATGTACCCCACGGCCATACGCTTGAGACAGTAAGAACAGCCAAGTACCTAGGTGTCTTACTGTGCAGGGACGCGAGCTGGAACGTACACTACAACAATGTAGCAAACAAGGCAAATGGAGTTTTGTGCTTTATTAAGAGAAACCTTAAAATCAGCTCTGTTTCCATCAAGGAAAAAGCATACAAAACCTTTGTGAGACCCTTGCTGGAGTATGCTGCATCCGTGTGGGATCCTTACAAGCAGAAGGACATTAACAAACTAGAAAGCATCCAAAGACGAGCGGCGAGATATGTTCTCAATCGCTACCACAACACGTCAAGCGTGACCAACATGTTAGCAGAACTCGGCTGGCAACCACTGGCAGAACGCAGAAGGTCAGCAAGACTAGGGATGCTGGCTAAGATCAACCAAGGAATTGTGCAATGCCCTATTATAAAAAGCAAGCTTGTTCCGCCACCATCAAGAAGAAGACGCACACACAACTACCAGCTTTCCCAGATTAAGACTAGAACACAGTACAGAGACTTTTCATTCCTGCCTAGAACCATCAAGGATTGGAATGCAGCAGAGGTAGACACGGTGAACAACCTGGTGTCCAGCCTCATGTAGTCTTCACTGCTGTAATAGTATGGACGGGACTATTCGGAACTGACCCGGCGAGGTTAAATGGACTGTGAATACTGGACAATTTTTAGTATAATGACCTCTGACCTGAAATGCCAGAATAATCGACGCCTCGATTGTGGGCATCAAGGGAAGAAGAAGAGAAGAAGAAGAAGAAGAATAGGGTCCCCTTATTTTTAATATAATGTACTCTTACTTCTGCCGACACGTTATTGAGCTTACATCGATCAATCAATCAATCAATCAATCAATCAATCAATCAATCAATCAATCAATCAATCAATCAAATGGTTTATTTGTGAAAACAAACAAGAACTTGTAGCCGTTGGCTAAATTTGTGTCTTGCTGTACAATTTGATTTCTTGACATATCTGGCAAAACACATTAAAATTGCTCCGTTATTCAATAAAATCCATATCATTACACATTAAATTATCTGAAAATAACAGTTTAAAGTTCAACATTAGAACAAACAATTACAGACATATATGAAATACATAGGTTTGTTAGTCCGTGCACTAATCCGTATTGAAGAGCGAAAGTTGAAATCAACTAAATCCAGATATTTTTCCATATTTGTTTTGTCATTTTTTTGTTAAAACCTTAACTTTCCAGAATCAACATTTAACTTGTGGGATATAGTTTGTACATACATATCAGAAATTCATAACCTTAACATAGTGGATACAGCTTTGATGTCACAACTAGAGTTACATGAATAGAACAAGTATCCGCTTGAATCTAAATATTTCCTTCACACGTTGTAGCAAGGTTCTTCTCTGACTAAATGCGCATTTTGTTGAAACAAATGAGCATCAGCTTTACAGCTATTACAATCCATCTGAACAAGGCAAAGACAATATTTGATAATACATAATGAAATATCTATACATCTAATGGAGATCTGCCTAATTCAGCCCTACATGTAGATGCTAAGTTACTGCTATTTCTAACAAAAAACCCACTAAGTATACTACCCGGTCAAAAAAAGACGATAGAACTAAATAACTTTTATTTTATCTAATTATTTATTTATTACGATTAACCACATACATAATATGCATGGAGGGCATGGTGGAACAGGTGCACCTAAGTGCACCTTTTCAAGGCCACCATGCCCACAAATAAATAGACAATGTGCATACAAAAATACAAAACAGTGATACTATATATACAAATTTACAAGATGGTAAAAGCAATAATCATTGAACTGGGCTTAACGGGGCCTCGTAGCGCGACAGGAGGTGCAGCCACACGACAGCACCCAGGAGCACGGAATGTCCACACTGAAATGTTGGTTGAACCTGTTGCGCATGGACAACCGACACTTTTTCTTGAAAGCCGCCACTTCACGATCAGTTGGACTCGACGCGTTAGCTCCCAGCGCCCTGGTCTCGATGTCCAGTTTGTTCCATATTGTTATGACTCGTGGCAGGAACTATCACTACTACAAGATGGTCGCAGTTGCACAGTTGGTGTCTCCATGTGAATTTTCATGTGTCGAGATAAGGAAAGCTTGGAGGTTGCAGAATAGCTACACTGGTCACACTTGTAGGGTTTTTCTCCTGTATGGGCTTTCATATGTACGGATAAGTAGGGCCTGTAAACTGTCCTAAATCCACACTCCCCACACATGTAGGGTTTCTCACCAGCGTGTTTTGCTTTATGGTCATGTAGGGTGGATTTTGTTGTGGTAGCATAGTCACACTGGTCACACTTGTAGGGTTTTTCTCCTGTATGAGTTTTCATATGTTGGCATAAGACAGACTTATGAGCTGCCTTGTATCCACACTCCTCACACATGTAGGGTTTCTCACCAGTGTGTTTTGCTTTATGGTAGTCTAAGCTGGCTTTCTGTGCAGCAGAATAGTCACACTGGTCACACTTGTAGGGTTTTTCTCCTGTATGAGTTCTCATATGTCGTGGTAACTGGGACTTTCGAGCTGTCCTGTATCCACACTCCTCACACATGTAGGGTTTCTCACCAGTGTGTTTTGCTTTATGGTCATTTAGAGTGGATTTCGCTGTAGCAGTATAGTCACACTGGTCACACTTAAAGGGTTTTTCAAGTGCATGTTTTTTCATATGTCGCGATAACTGGTACTTCCGAGCTGCCCTATATCCACACTCCCCACACATGTAGGGTTTCTCATCAGTATGTTTTACTTTATGGACATTTAGAGTGGATTTCCTTGCGGCAGTATAGTCGCACTGGTCACACTTGAAGGATTTTTCACCTGCATGTTTTTTCATATGTTGTGATAACTGGGACTTTCGAACTGCCCTGTACCCACACTCCCCACACATGTAGGGTTTCTCACCAGTGTGTGTTGCTTTGTGGTCATCTAAGCTGGCTTTCTGTGCAGCAGAATAGTCACACTGGTCACATTTGTAGGGTTTTTCTCCTGTATGACTTCTCATATGTCGTGATAAATGGTGCTTTTGAGCTGTCCTGTATCCACACTCCCCACACATGTAGGGTTTCTCACCAGTGTGTTTTGCTTTATGGTTATTTAGGTTGGATTTCCATGCAGCAGTATAGTCACACTGGTCACACTTAAAGGGTTTTTCACCTGCATGTTTTTTCATATGTTGTGATAACTGGGACTTTCGAGCTGTCCTGTACCCACACTCCTCACACATGTAGGGTTTCTCACCAGTGTGTATTACTTTATGGTCATCTAGGTTGGATTTCCTTGCGGCAGAATAGTCACACTGGTCACATTTAAAGGGTCTTTCACCTGTATGGGTTTTTATATGTTTGGATAAGGCAGACTTTCGAGCTGTCCTGTGCCCACACTTTCCACACATGTACGGTTTCTCACCAGAGTGTTTTGCTTTATGGTCATTTAGAGTGGATTTCCTTGCAGCAGAATAGTCACACTGGTCACAATTAAAGGGTCTTTCACCTGTATGGGTTTTCATATGTTTGGATAAGGCAGACTTTCGAGCTGTCCTGTGCCCACACTTTCCACACATGTACGGTTTCTCACCAATGTGTTTTGCTTTATGGTCATCTAGGTTGGATTTCCTTGCAGCAGAATAGTCACACTGGTCACAATTAAAGGGTCTTTCACCTGTATGGGTTTTCATATGTTTGGATAAGTCAGACTTTCGAGCTGTCCTATGTCGACACTCCACACACGCGTACGGTTTCTCACCGACGTTATTGACCTGAACCTTCTGCGCTGTCGTCTTGTCTTGACCATAGCTTGTTTTGCTGCCAGACTCATGTGCAACCTTGGAAACCCCGGTGGGAGACCCGTCAAAGCTGTTTTGTTCTACTCCGATGGGAGACCCTTGTCCTGCCATTGCCATGTCCAGCCTAGTGAGAAAATTAAAAGTAATAACGATAATGATAATAATAATAATGATGATAATAGTTATAATAATAATAATAGCAGTAGTAGTAATAGTAATTGTTTATTGCAAATTCTTGCCCGAGGGATAATTGCAGAAACAGAAGAAATATGGTATAAAAACAGACAATTAGTACATATAGAGCTATTGACAACTACTAAGAAACTACTGGTAAAAAGCTACTGGGTTTGACTTCTTATTTGAAGACAGAGGAAGACAAAGGATCCCACTTTTTCTATAATTTGTGGGTTTTCTGATGTTAAGAGGAGAGTGGTTTTCTTTTCATTCGTATATGTGTGATAGTAATAGTAATAATATTAAGAAAAGCATATATTGTGATAAAAATAAATGTGCCTTTAGTCAAACTGCTAGAGTCATGCATAGCTGCTAAAATTGGAAAAAAAAACAGCTTCTGTACCCTGCACAAAGGATTACCGAATCGCCACGGCTATCGGTGGGGGCCTGCATGTGGGGGGGGGGGGCGACAACGGTCTACGATACATTTTGAGAGCTGGCTGCGTATTACGCTGAATTCGGAAAACCTCTCGATATCTTGGCGCTCTACGATAAATTCCAAGTGGCTACAACGCATTACGTAGAATGAAAACGGCGAATACGCTCTACGCAAAATGGGCCAATTACACTCTACGTTGAATAAGAGCGCTCCGTCTACGCTCTACGGAATTAAAACCGCCGATTACGCTTCTACGAAAAAGGGCATGCGGGCCCCCATCAGTGAGTTAGGAATCATTTTTCACACAAGGCCACTCACGTACTCACAAGGCAAAGACAGGCATTTGCATTACGCTTTCATTGAAACGAATTCCTTACAATAGCATCAGGATACTGTTTACAGAACCATGCTATGTATAAATGAATAGATGGTAACATCTGTGCCATAATATCGCCAGGGTCCATAATATCACCACCTTGAGAAACAGTGTGCTTTTTACTTTTGATATGCACTCCTTCACACATCAAATGTACATATCTAGGCTATGTTGCAGTAAAAATATCTTAAAGCACACTATTTCTCAAGGTGGTGATATTATGGACCCTGGTGATATTATGGACACAGATGTTACCATATGGTAGAAATTTTCTACCATATGGTAGAATTTTACCACCATATTCACATCCATAAACGGCCTATTATTACACCATCGTCTTACTGTAGCCATTCTTGTACAGAAATTAAAATTCATGACTATTAATCATGTCTATTAAAGCATTTATTTTACCTGCTTCTTGTGATGGTTTTCTCTTCACGTAAACCTGGCGTCACTGTCCGATTGTCGTAACGAGGGGTCAAAGGCAAAAGTGTCAAAGGTGAATACGGTCCCCTGATTTTCAAGATAGTGTATTTTTACATCTGCTGACACGTTAGTAGCTTTGTGCAGGTTTGTTCGTCTGTTCTGTGTCACGTAACGTTAACTCATATCTGCATTATATCCACACACCCCATACATTTTCTCCTGTTTCTCTTCTACGTCAGTTTTTATATGTCGAGATAAGTGAAATCTGAGCACATCCATAACGAGCGGTCGCTTTTTATTATTTAGGCCATGTTGATTTGATTATATGGATGACATCCTCCGGGAACCCCAAAATTGATGCGCGCTTGCGAATAAAAAAAAGTTTAGCAAAAAAAAAAGTTGTTTTCATTATGAAATCTACGTGGTCATGAGGGTTGAACAAATGGGACAGAATATGGTTTGGCGAATAATCTAGTCTTCAAGTTCATTTCTTTACAATTTCGTCTTTTTCGTTTGCTTTTGGCATTCTACGACATAGGTATGGTTTTTTTGTAACTTACGGTATATTTTTGCTCATTTTGCAACTGTTTTGTACGATTTATAGTACGGTTAAAACCTTTTTTTTTTTTGAAACGGCCGAAAATTCATGCGCGCGCGGATGTCATCCATATAATCAAATCAACATGGCCTTATACAATATAATGTAAATTATTTGAAGACAAATATAAATCTCCCAATATCGCCACCCGCTTCTTGCCTACCATTCTCTGGCCTTGACATCATGGCGATCGCTCGTATACTACATGTATATGATGTAGTCCTGAACCGATATTTTTTACGGGCCCGCCTGAACCAAGCAAATTGGATGGCGCTCAGGCTGAATGTGCATTAGTAAACAAATATTCTAGAAGGACTTCTTACATTTTATTATGTTTAAAGAAGGAAACATATTGTTTTTGCTTTGTTTTTTTTTCTTGTTCTTCTCCAATGACCTCTGACCTGGTCAATGCCCGTCTCTCACCATGGTAACTGGTGTTGAGTTACATCATGTTGCAATTTTGAAGAAAAAGGGATTTAGACTTATGTCACGATATATGCGTGAATGTGTTTGAGTAAGAATTAACAGAGCAGACCATATGCGAAGGTAAACATTATCTGTATTTGTATCAGTATAGTCGGTATAACCGCCATTCGGCGTAACACGACCATCTTACGCATTTGCTTTATTATGCATTTGCTTACCTTTCTAGTTTGATGTTGTTTTTCAGAACGCCACGTACCTGGTGAGCCTGGACCACAGCAAGGAGGTCAAACAAGTGGACTTCACCGGCACGGTGAGACAAATCCACTAGAGTACTACTGACGCTCCACAAAAAGTCAGGCTTTCACAAGTTTCTGACCTTTAGATACGTTTATGGGACATGAGGTTCCGTACGGTGGCCCTCAGGGACAATACCTGTTTTATTCTTTTTTTGTCGTGCTTTCTTAACTAGTGAGACACGGGGTTTCCTACGGTGACCCTAAGGGACAATATCTATTTGTTTTCTGTGGGTGCTTTCTTAACTCTTAGCAAATTTCTTCGGCGGGCAGGGGACAATTTAATTGGGCACCCTTACAAGCAAAGGGCAAATTCTGAGGTAGTGGTATTGTGTTGATATAGGTCTTTCTTTTCAGAAAAGATTTTACACATCTTTCACAATAGGAAAAACTGTTGATAAAGGCTAAATGTTTTCACCATACCCTCCTAAAGACACAAGGAATTACAAAATAGTAAATAGTAGCGGCCTTACAAATCCATTTTCTTCTCATTCTTCTTTCTTGTTATCAAAGGTCTACAAGAAGTCGAACGAGTTTGGGAAGTTCCTGGAATCAGAGAACGGCAAGATGCAGTTCAAGCTGGGACCGTCAGGAGGCATCGTTGTACAGGGACAAGACTGCAATGACAATTCCGGCTGTTACTGTGGTAACGAGGAAGTGAGTGAATTTTTCAGATTAAAAAAAATACAAAAAACTTTCTGATATATTCCTGATACGTTATTGTTAAAACAGACAGCATCCACAGCCATCCATCCTTAAATAGGTTTAAGAAGAGGGTAAAAATAACTAAAAAAAACCAGTACCTGTCATCAACTAAAAGCGATAGCACTCGTGGCACTGTATCTATCTCTAACCTGCCATCTTAGTTTACCCTACCCCACCCATAGCCTCCACCAGGCCTTCCTACAGGAATTCGGATCGCAGAATTCGGCAAAAAAGAGAGTATATAAAATTGGCCAGGGGAGTCCGGCCGCGGGGAGGTAGTTTCTTTCCTCCGCGGCCAGTCAAACCTACAAGGCGGCCAAACTCCCCTGGCAATTATTCTCCTATATATTTAGTAGTTAGTCTTGTATAGACTACCCCACCCGCCACCAATTTGATAAAGTCAAGGGCAAGTATAAGAGCGCCTAGTGGGTAAAAGTATTTAGAATGGAAACAAAGTTTCTGTGAAAAATTATTCGTGTCAAAAATTTGGTGCGAATGTATTTGTCATGAGTTTATTTCTGTGGTGATTTAACTTCTGTCCCTAAATCTATTCATCCCTTCCATGCAGCACATGGACAAGATCTGTGACCTCTACGGAGACAACTGCCTCTCTGTGACCTGCAGCAATCCCGTCACCCCTAGCGGCAGCTGCTGCCCCATGTGCGGTGAGTGGTTGCTATAAAACCCTTTTGTCTAAGTCAGGAAGGTAAACAGACGCGTGAAGAGTTTGGATGGCAGTTACTACATTGTAACTCTATCTGTACATTCACCAGTTTCCCATCCCCAGAATGCAATGCGAAAACAGGGGTCTAAACCTCATTTGCATAGGACAGGAAGGCATCGGAATGATCTTGGTGACGTTAAATAGCTTGCTTTTCACTGTGTTTTGAGGTGTTGGGGGCATTTTATGCTCAACATTAATTAAATTACTATGGGTCGAATCTGACAACAAATATAGAATGAAGTTTTTGTGTTCCTCAACATGGAACACGTGGTTTGTACTGTTACAGCATCATCATAGCGTTACCAATATACGTTACAAACCACATATTAAAAAAATTATCATTCTCTATTTGTTGTCAGATTCAACCTCACTGTGCATCTGAATGTTACTTAACAATGCAGTATCAAGCGTAAAACACCTGTGACATACATAGGTTCCAAATGTAAAGTATTATTATATATATAATATATTGTCATACCTAATTTATTGTTATACACATGCAGGCGCGGTACTGCTGCTGTCCTATGACAAAATGTCGTTTGACATCATGGCCTTCCAGGACCGTCTTGTCGATGACTACATGCTCAATGTAACGTCACAATCTACTTGTTTATCCGTTCTAGTAGACTCACTTAGAAGTATGTTCGTGCATTTAATTTAATTTCAGTTTGAAACGTAATTATCTTTTTAATGTATGTTTTAGACAATTTTAGACGACATGTTAGCAGTTACACGCTACAGACCTCTGATAAAAACTTATGCTGTGGTCACATTTGATTTGATTTATTAGGCTGTATAAGACATATGTATACAGCCAGGACTGCCCAACTAGCAAACTAGGGCCCGGCCGGGCTGTTTCGATCAAGAGTATTACGCAAATAGTTCCTATTATTATTGCTTTGAAGTCTTTTATATCCTACGTTTAGTTCCATAAGACTGCCCGGCCGGGCCCCGGTCTGGAAATGTGACCTCAGCATTAGGTAACAATTCGCAACCTCGGGCACCGACCGGGTAGTTTGCGGGAACGAAAAGTAAAGATAAGATTAGTAAAGATCACTATTTGCATGTTATGTTATTGTGTTTACCGAAGGAAAACATATTCTTTGCTCAGTTTCTTCCTCTTCTACTTCTCCAAACAGTGACCTCTGACCTGACCAATGACATGATTTGTTGACGTCTGTCACCATGGTGACTGGTGTTGGATTACATAATATTGAAATTTCATGGTCTGCTTAGCCTCCTGTGCAGGCCCCGCGGCGGTGGGGAAGAGTTTTTAACGCATTATTTTAATATAGCCGGCCATCCTACATAGCCGCTGAGAG